AAGACTGGGAACCACTGGTTTAATTTTTAATGTACCAGTGTATTTCACATTGTATTTTTTAGTTGTATTTTTTTATGTAAAAGCCTAATCTGTAACCTAACTAGTTTTCAGTTAAATGTAGAGTAGAAAATTATCAAAGAGTATAGAAAAATGTAAATACGCAAGTCATGACAGGATTACTGAACATGCCTACAGACACAGGCCCCCTTACACTTTGGGCCCCTGGGCCTTACCTGCAAAACATCACTCAAATTAGCACACACTCTTCAGGTACAGATTCAAAATGACCGTAAAAGGATGAGAAGGAACGGCAAAGAGACACAAAATAACTACAACAAGGGGCAGAACAACCACAAAGAGACGCAAAATGACAACAAGGAAACACAAAACCGCAAGACGATCTATTACAACTGCAAAGAGATTCAAAACAACGACACAAAAAGAGGCTAAACAGCTAAAAAAAAGTGCGTCTTGCTCCAAAGTAGGAGAGGTGGGGGGGCCTTTTGCATATCTGTGTCCGGCAGTCCATTGTCTGCTAAACCACCCCTGACTCAAGTCAAGTAAAAGTATATTAAAGTATTGTAGTATTATATTAAATATATTTAAAGTAAAAGTAAAAGTATACAAAAATTGTACTAAACACTGGTGGCTGGGGCTAACGTACCAGGTGCCACCTGCTACTCAGCTTTATAACACACACACTGATGGAACAGCCATCAGGAGCAATTTGGGGTTCAGTATCTTGCTCAAGGATACATCGACATGCAGACCAGAGGAGCCAGATCGAGCTGCTGATCATCCAATTAGTGGGCGACCCGCTCTACCTCTGAGCCGCAGCCAACCGTAGATGGAAAAAGAGCCACGAGTTGCTAATAGACACCAACGTTTGGTGGCTAGAAAGCTGCAGAAACACAGCGATGACTCGTCAAAAAACAACCGCTTTTGATGTTTGTGTGGTCTCAAAGAGTGGTCTGCAGCTTGGCAGGTGTCACACCATCCACCATCCCCTCCACCTCCTGATGACGAAGTCAGCTCATATACGACGTCACTTTGATATGAAACATACAGATGTAAAGTATCCTCGGTTTGCAGAAACAATGGCAACATTTTCCTCCGGCCACTGGGCTGAACAGCAATAAATTCTCAAAATCTGCCGTCACGTTAAATCAGCAGTTCTCACCAAGGTAACTCTGCTGCAGGGGGATGAACTGTAATGCATCACAGTGTGTCAGGCGTCTCTGCTACTTCATTCCAGTGTGTGTGAAACTCCTCAATAGAGCCCAGAGCTTTTGTTTTGACAAGACTGTTTCTAATTAGTGATGTGTCCTTCAGGGATTATTTCATGCAGCAGCAAAGAGTATTAAACTAAATTCAACCATTACAATGTATATTTGATTATAAATAACAGAAGGTAAATCTTCGTGCTAACGAGCAGCATGTATTGTCGGGTTATCGCCTCCTCCACCACCTGCAGAATCTGCTTTAAACTGCTGTAGCTGCCACGTGCATGCACTGCAATCCACTGAGGGTTGGCTCATATTCTGTGCACCGCCTGCTGCCTAGAAAAAGTAGTTAGAGGGTTTACCTGTCCTCTGAGTGTGCGAGAGGCTCCCAGCTGAAGTGCACTTCACTGTAGCCTAAAGGTTATTTTGTGATGTGCTCTTGTACATAATGTACTCACTGAGTTCAACACACACTATTTTGGGCGCCACCTGAATATGCCGGACCCTACCAACTCTTTTTTTCACTCAGGGGATGTCTGTATTTTGCACGAAATAGTCTGCGGTCTCCAATCCGAGGGGTTTCCTGTATGTGCTCTGCTCCGCTGTTCGACGCCTGCCGGCATGCAGCACACCCTGCTGCTTTCTACACGCTGTTTTGAGGCTGTGTGTGCTGTTCTTCACGGCGTCGTGCAGAGTGAGCTTTGCCATCTGTGGCGTGGCAGCGTACATGTTAGTTCGGTACAAAACAAGTCCAAATCCAAAGTGATGTTTTTTAATACGCCTGAATATATTCTCCCGTCCTGTATGATGTCAGATTCTATAACCAGTTTCACCCAGAAATATGTTAAGGCAAGCAAAATCAATAGTCATAAAATCTGTTTGCTCCTTCAGATCTGAAATGATTTATTCATTCTTCTTCTGCAGTTTCCCTGGATATATTTCTGCCCTTAAAGCTGGGGTAGGCAGTTTTGTTTTGGCGTCATTGGGCCAAAATCCCATAATGAATTTTGAGCATATTGTAATTTAAGTGGATGGAGAAAAGTAGACTTCTGCACCTCCTCTTGGCTCTGTTTTCTAGGCTGCAGAGGGAGACTTTGGCCAATCACAGGTCATTTCAGAGGGAGGGCGTTCCTATTGGCTGTTCTACAAATGCAGATGTGCATGCACGTTCCTTCTGATGGTGAAAGCCTGATTCAATTGCAGAGAATCTTGCAGAGAAAGTGCCTACACTGCAAAGCAACCCAAAAAAGGAAGTCGGACTGATCGAAAAGATCCTGACAATAAATAAAACACGTGTCAGTATAGATGAAGTGTTTCAGAGATGGAGAGAACATGTTGCTAATAGTTCAGCCTCCTGCTAACCAGAGCTAAAGGCTCACAGCTGCAGCTTCAAGTTCACATTTATGTAGCTAACATTAGCTAGAGTCTCAAATCATAGTGTCTTCTCCGCCTCACTCCCCGCCACCACAGAGCCCCTCACCTGGCAACCTGGTCTCACTCTGAAGTCGTCGAAATCTGGCACTTGGGCAGTGACTTGCAGCATCAGACTCCAACGTTAAAAGAAAACGTTATAGTTTAATGGCACCCAGCAGCATCAGTGGGAAACACGACCAAGAACGAAAGTTACGGCGGTGAAAGTCCAAGTGGGGTGGGCAGAAAGGGTGGAGGATGGCCCTTTATTTTGAAAGAGACTGTATGCAAACTATATATTTCCTGTGAAAACAGAAGTATATTTAAAAAGAAGACAATGCATGTAACAGGCTGAAGTTGACATGGTGTGCCAAAACGTGAACAACCATCACACCCAGGGTACCTTGGACGTCATATGTGGACGTGGAAAGTCCATGACCAAACGTGGACATGTGACGAGGTCGTAGTGAGAATGTGTTGCACCTGGAGGAGAGCGGGAAGCAGTTCCAGAGACAGATCTCCAGTCAGCAGCTGCAGCAACCTGAGTCCAGCAAGCACAAAGCCCAGTTCCAGGGGACCAGGCATCCCCGACTCCCCGCCGGATCAGCAAACTTTCTGTTGCTGCTGTTACACAGGTTAGACCCAGCACTACTGCTGTCCACCAGTCCCCTGTGACACCCGCTGCTGGGGGTTTGTGCTGGCTAAAATTCCAGTCGCTACAGCTGCCAACCTGTGGCTGCTACCTGCTCTCCTCCTGGGGAAGCAGTCTATAGTGGGACAGTGGGGTGGCTAGCAGCTAATCTATGTCTCATTTGTGGTCTAATAAACAGAGAGAGAGGGGCAGGGAGGGGGCGGAGTAAATGCACAGTGTGCAGCTCTGCAATGAAATAAGATTAAATAAATCAATGTTTAGGAAACACTGAGTTACTGTATGAAGCACTTGGCTGGTGGGAGGGGCTTCAGACAGAGAAGGGAGAGCTGCAGGAGGAGGGTGCGTTTCCAACTCCTGCCATTTTTTTTTCCAGATTTCTCCCGACTCCAGCTTTAATCCTGTCATTTGAATTCTCCAGAATAGCACTGAACATTTCAGCTAGACCAGAAAACCAGCGCCGAACCTGCATCGAATCTTTTATGAGTCTATAAAAGATTCAATTAAAAGTCCCTGCACAGGTGTCGCAGAGGTCGCATTAGCCAGAATAATTGAAACAACCTGTGTGTGTGTGTGTGTGTGTGTGTGTGTGCCGGGTTCTGAAAACGAGCGACTCAGAGAGCAGAATTTTTAGCGCTTGATGTTTTTCAGTGTCAATTATTTTTTGTCTTAAAGTCATCATGCGCAAGAAAGCCACAGACCTGGACCATTATCTGTCATCAGCACCGGCTCCTGTTTATTCAAATGAGGCCCACCTGCTGTGTGGAGCCTCTCCAGTGCAGGTCAGGAGCTGCAAACCTGCCGACTGGAACACTTTAAGACATTAGATAGAGAGAGGAGCCAGTCACATGATGAGGACTGGAGCTGTGGAGATCTTTTAATGCAGTTTCTTAACTGAATTCATCAGTGTCTGAGCTTAAATCTGCAGAAACTGCAATCGATGCAGTCGGGCCCCTGGAGCATCCGCCCCTGTGTTGATAACTATATCAGCCCTGTTATTTCTCAGTGGAAGTATCAGTATGTCAGGCAGCTCCCAGCCTCTACAGAGTGATCTATCTGCAGCTCCACTCTGTATTGCCCACACATAGGAGTGGGCTGTGGAAGCGAAACATTGCTGGGTGTTGTAGAGCATTGCCTGCAGAAAATAAACAATTAGAAGAGCAGCAGACGAAGGAGAGCGGGACAGAACAGAGCTCGCTTCACATGCACAATCCCTGCCTGTCTGTCTGTCACTGAAGGTGACGCTGAACGACCACAAGGCCACGGGCATCATCTCTCACTCATGAGACAGGGTCACACGGATCCAAAAACACAACTCTCTCTTGGTCTCCTCTGTCCCTCCCCCCCTGTCTCTCCCACCCTCCCTCCACTCTGCTGCAGTGCACTCAGACAGGGGTCTCAAGACGGGCTGTCAGTCTCCAATCACACCACTAATCTTCTCTGATACACCCTGATGCATGCAACCCCTCCTCTCACACTCTTCCGCTCTGCCAGCTCAGGCACACACACATACATGTACACACACAGAGAGACATCATCATCATCAGTTAGGCCTAATAGTAGCAAGCAGCCAGCAATGGTGTGGGAGAAGTACCCCTCTAACTATTGAGCTCACAAAACCATCAGAGAGCTTATATCATCTACAAGGCACCGCCTGCACCAGAGCAGAATAGAATAGAATAGAATAGAATAGAATAGAATAGAATAGAGACTCTTACTTGCTTTCCCTGGCCGGGGCCTTTGCAGCAGTTTCTGCACGGTGAGCAGGTCCTCGGTCTTCACCGCCTGCAGCAGTTCCTGGTCCTTTCCCATCTTCCGCTCTGAGCCGCTCTACTCCCGCAGCATCCTCCGACACAGCGGCGCTTCAGCCCAGCCTCACCTCGCGGAGGGTGCGTCTACCGCGGCCACGAACAGCCTCCCTCCTCCTCCCCCCTGGTCCCTGACTTAGATGAGACCCCCCTGGAGCTCTGACATATGATGAGGAGGAGGGGGAGGACAGGCAGGGTGGGATGGAGGGATGCTCTCGGGTTCCCCCGCTTAGCGCAGCGCCGCTGGATGGATGGATGGATGGATGGATAGATGGATGGATGGGGCACCGGGGGGCCGCTCTAGATTCCAGTATCAGCGCGCTGGCGTCGCGTGCGTGGTATTTTGACGGTGGAGATGAATGGTTTCCACGGTTCGCTCGCGCTCCTCATGTGTGATCACGCTGATCGGTGTCGCTTGCAGCTGCGCTCCACAACAACGGTTAACCGAGCGGGGAGACCGCGCGGATCCTCGCCGAGGGAAGGAGACGTCAGACGGGCTGATGAAGCAGCCTCGCGGGCTCACTGGCAGACACTGCGCGTAAATGATTGTGCGTTTAGAAATCGGGTGCGCGCGGTGTCCGTTTCTCCCGAGGTTATGCCGCTCTCGTGCGCTGCGTCGTAAACACAATCCAGGTCTGCTGCTGCCGCCGCTGCTGCAGCCATCGCTCCGCGTGCGCTCGGGCTCTATTTGGTAATGGTTTTGTCCGCGTGGGGGCAGGGGTAGTGAGGGGGGCACGCACACGCGCCCGCGCGCTCTACAGCTGGCCCAGCTCGTACTGCTAAATGGCTCGTGCTGCAACTTGGGGGCGGACCAGGAGCGCGGTGCTCTCCCGCCTCCTCCTTCATGTTTCTGTGGGCCTGACTGTGGAGCTGCACACTGAGGCTGCACAGATTTATTCAGCTGCACGCAATCACTGTCATCACTGTGCTCAGATCTCCTCTAATCACTGATAGTTTTATTAGGTTGTGTCAGCCTCACCTGAATCACACCTTTATCCCCAGGTGATGTCAGAGTTACATGTAATCCATTACAGTTGCAGCATGCACGCATGCAGCTGATTTCAGGTTTATACACACATGTTATGAAGACACCTGCCTCTGTGTAAAGGGCTCCTGGGTATGGAATACCATTTATGTCAATATCAAATTAATCAATATGGCTATGAAATAAGTCCTGAAAAAACAAGGTGGAATCATGTAATAAAAGTCTCCTGAAATAAATTATGAATTAAATAATATAAATTATATTTATGCATTTATTTCATAATCACTTAAAATCATTTAAATCAAATAAATAAATATAAAATAAATAAAAAAAATAGCTATGAAATAAATCCTTAAATAAATTGATTTGGAATTATCTGAAGTCAACTGAAATAAATAAAAATATTTTTTAATTACATCCTTTTATAACAAAAACTTTTTTTTTTAATTTAACCATACATATTTATTTAAATAATTATTGCCTATTTACTTAGCTATACTGAGACCTTTATATTTGAGTTTATTGATATATAAATGGCCTCATTTATTTATTTCAAGATTTATTTCATTGACTTAAATGGCTACACCCCTGCTTAGGTATGGAAGGCCTATGTCAGAAATAATCCTCTATATAATAATACTAAAGATAATAACAATTTGTGTAAATAAATTAATTATTATGGCTATGAAATAAATCCTGAAATAAATTAATGTAGAATTATGAAATACAAATAAAACTTTTTAAAATAAAAACCTATCATGTTTATTGAACTATACTGACATACCTATATTTGCACTTATTTATATATTAATTGCCCCATTTGTTTATTTCAGGGTTTATTTCATGGACGTAGTCATATTTTTGCATTTATTTAATATTGTCTTGAATGGCATTCCATACCTGAGCAGGGCGTTAGGCATTTGAGTCACTATTAAATAAATAAATGTGCTAATTAAATGAATATGCCAAAGAAATAAATATATGTTGCTATGAAATAAATCCTGATATGAATTAATGTAGAATTATAAAATAAAAGTCCAGTTAAATAAATAAGTATATAATACAATAAGTATTATTAAAGTACATCCTTATTAAATCAAAAACTTTTTTTATTTATTTATTACCTCATTTATTTATTTTTTAGGATTTATTTAATAAGCATGTTTATTATTTTCACAGACATATTTATTGATTTCATAGGCATATTTATTTATACATATATTTATTTATTATTGACTTAAATGGCTAAAATAAATCCTCTAACAAATAAATGTGAAATTATGAAATAAAAGTCCCCTGAAATAAATAAAATATAAGCCTAGACCTAAAACGTCCTTTTTAAAATTAAAACCTAGCCTATTTATCTAATAACCTACACTGACACATTTATATATGCATTTATTTTTATATAAATTGCTTCATGTATTTATTTCAGGATTTATTTCAAAGGCATATTTATGTTTTTATTCAATACTGACTTAAATGGCATTCCATACCTAAGCAGGGGTGTAGGCATTTAAGTCAGTATTAAATAAATAAATTAATATGCTGATAAAAAAAAAATAAATGTGGCTATGAAATACTTCCTGAAACAAATTCATTTGGAATTACATAATAAAAATCCCTTGAAATAAATCAAAGTATAAGCCTTAACATTATATGTCCTTTTAAAAATAAAAATCTACAATATTAAGTATACTGACATATATATCTATATACGCATTTATTTTTAAATTAATTGCCTCATTTATTTATTTCAGGATTTATGTCTTATCATATTTTGATTATATTTATATATTTATTCATTATATTTATGCATTTATTTAGTATTGATTTAAATGGCATTCCATACTTGAGCAGGGGTGTAAGCATTTTAGTCAATATTACAAAAATAAATAGGCTAGATAAATAAATATAACTATGAAATAAATCATTAAGTTTAAAGGGTTTCAAACTGAAGTGTTGAATAAATTTAAATTTTGATCTTTGATGAAAAGCTAAGAGATTCTTTAAGTTATTACAGTTAATTCTGAAGTGATTGTGTCCACCAAATTTCATGGCAATGTTTGTTTTACTCAAAACTTTGTCTTTGTTCAAAACCCCACGTCAACCTCATGGTGACAGTGAATGAAAAGTCAGGATCACCAAAATCATTTTTGATACGTCCCCTGGAAACCATAAATTACACAATCCGTCCAATAAATGGTCAGATATTTAAATTTGGACCGAGTAACTAGCATCACCATCCTTAAATCTATTCAGCTAGCATCGCTAAAACACATTAGCCTTCCTCTGTTATTGGTGGAGATATATTTCTCTCAGCTGATGTCCCACACTTGTCTGAAAGAATTTCAGAAGTGCCAACAGATTGGTGCAAAAAAACCTGCTAAAAATGCCAATAACGTCAGCAAGTCACTGTAAATATCCAATTAACCCTGTCTGACCCTGCTGATTAGAGAGAAGCCTAGCCATAGCCTACACTGTTTATTTACAGTTGGTTTGGCGTGTTTGGCGATCCCTTCGCTCCATCATCAGGTCAACGTGTTGATGTGTCCAGTTCTTTGGTTTATGACCAAAATAAAGTCTGACATTCCCATCTGTCTTTCATTCCCATGACAAGACTTAGCTTGGTTATGTGGTGATATTAATGTAGCAGAGACGCGGATATCTTAGACTTCCTTTATATCACCCTGTTTTTAAAAGTCCCTGTACCTGATGGTGTTGTTGAATGTCTACAAGGTCCTTGTAGAATGCAAGTACAAACTTAAACATGGTACTCCACAAAAAAGAAATCAATCACTCCTTTTAGTCCATACCTTCATCAGATATGTCAGAACATATCAAAAACCCTTATACATGTGTATATCGCCACTTTATCAGTGGCCTGGGTATACCTCTGCGTCTGCTGTTGACATTCCAGAACACGCTGCCAACACCGGAACGTCATCAAAAGCACTTGGTTAGGTTTAGAAAAAACATCTTGGTTTGGCATTCAGGAAGAAAACACTGGACACCTGGGTCCAAGTGTGGGTTTGTTGGACCCATCTACCTCCCCTCTCATGGCCCTATACGGCAGCATTTCAACCTGAGCCCGTCCAGCAGTGTTTCATACCGCCCCAATAGGTGCCGTCCTGGCAACCATAAAAACAGCAAAAGTTATGTCCGGCCATGTTACATACCGACGCCGCCTGGCTTCATATCATACTGCTGCGATAGGTGGCTTTTGGCGTCAGGTGTCTTACACCAAAGTCATTGACAAAGTGACGGTATTCCATGACTTTGGGATGAGAATGGGCTGGAGGGGGAGGTCTTAATCACTGATAAATTTGTTTCTGTCATGATCAGTTTGCGAAAGTTCAGCATATGAATTCAATAGCCTGGCTATCAAATGGCCTGTCTCACCCTCACGGTCTATATCTGACCCATCGCAATCACAATCACTCAAGACAGCATTTTCTTTTATTTTGAGGGACACCTGTAAGGTGTATGCATCGTCTCGGCGGTCCCCTAGATCCCACATATCCAGAACTTCACTCAAAGTGAACCTTAAAAAAAAGAGTAGAAGGTTTGGTAGAACAAGAACTATATATGTGTGTGAGTACATCTACATTTAGATGCACTGTTTTGTCCCGCCGGTCACTGTTGTTGCTGTCAACATGTTCACTAACTCTGTGACTACACTGAACAAAGTTGAGTAATTGCAAATGCACATATCAATACTAGACACCTTAAAGATAAAATGTTTGGGAGCTTTGATGCAGCCATCCTCGTCTCATGGTGGAACCAGGAAGTAAGCAGTTCTGGTCATGTGACAGTTTACGCTAAACATGTGACATGGCACATATTTCATTGAGACTCTTTATTATTTCAACATTTGCTGGAAATGCATTGATACATCATTCAGTAACACTTTCAAACGTATATCACTAACAACACAAGTTCTATGTGTTGTTAGTGATATACGTTTTCAGTTAGTAAATTTCACATTTAAGGGTCAAACACAGACCTTTTGATGGGCCCCCCTTGGCCTTGGGCTGGGGTCATCTGTAGCATAGTTGTCTGCTGGGTGTAGTTTAGGCTGCTGTCAGCCCTAGAGTGGTCTCCTTTGGTCTGAATCAGGGACTCATGTTGTTCCAAAGTTGTATAATTGCCTAGAGTTGGTTCGTGTTCTCACGGCAGCATTTACAAGAGGACCAGATCAAATGCCTTGTGTGAGAAAGCTGCTCTTGATTGGTCAGAATTTCCATGTGGGAAAAATCCAGGAAGTAAAGCAAACGTTGAAGAAGAGTACACTTGCAAGATAAATGTGACACTTTCTAATGTCACAATGGAGGGACAACTACGCAGGTTGATTTTAGCGCTGCTCATCGTGGACTATATTGCTGTCATTGTTCATTTTAGTCAAAGCATACAGTTTGAAAACGAGGCGCGGCTCCAACTAGAAAACAATGTTTTGATGCATTGGATGTGCTGAATGTGCATATTAAGGCAGTACAGGAGGAGGTGCACATTAATAATCCTCCAGGACTGTAACATGCTCATGTTAAACCCAAACAATGTGTCATGTGACTGCAGTTGCTTCACATCCAGGTCGGAACACCTTCTCACCACAAACCAACCGCACCAGAGTTCCTTTGGAACCGGACTGAGACCACCTCTTCAAGAAGGTCTCGGTCTGGTTGTTTTGGTGCACACCTGAGTGTGATTGCTGTGTTCACACCTGCCCAAACGAACTTGAGTTTGATTGAACTGAACCAAACAGCCTAAGTTTCATATTTACAGCAGCTACAGACATTATACTGGTATCAATGTTTGCATATTTGGAATATTT